GACTGCAGAAAAGGTAGTAGGCTATTGACATCGCCTGTACATATGTTCTGAACAGAAATTTCTTCCGATCCAGACCAAACTTGGCACACAGACAGTTCGAGGGATGGGTGTCTAGGCTACCTTCAACCTAATCAATATCGATTTTATCGTCTTTTTGCGAAATTCTACCTAAGGCTAGGAGTTCGCACAAGCAGATAAGTGAGCATGCTAATCAAGGATATATCACACAGGGCCGGGCGGAGCCGGATTTGCCTGCAGTCATTAGTTAGTTGTCATTAGTTGGAAAGGAGTATTTTATTAGTCATCCCCCGGTTACTAGGTCGAAGCTAACTTTGCGAAATACCATGCTGATATATAATGAAAAGTGGTTTGACTTGCTTCCCCCCTTTTTTCCTTTTCCCAACAATAGGTTGAGATCTGAGATTTTTGAAAATAGCCTATATAAGTTATAAAGCTGCGCAAGTGACTCGCTCGTAAATTACTGACATGATTGTTAGAATTTCTATAGGTAAACGGAAAAACCTTTCGTTTCTCCACTGGAGAGCACATTAGCTCGCCAAAGCTCCTCCCTCGCGGACAGCTAACTTGAACTATAATGGAAAAAAGTGTGCATTTATTGCGCATGCCCGCGCTGGACCTCCTCCTTCGACGACCTAATGTCTTCGTTTGAGCACTCCTTACTTGAAAAGGTTTAATGTTGAACGAAATTTCACGAAAGTGCTTCAAAGTTAACCTGTGCTAGTTGTGGGTAGTTGTGAAATTAACAGTCAGTGACCTCAATTGTGCCAGCCTAGTCAAGCAAGGAGGTAGCCGTTTCTCTTGGGGTTGGGCCAAACTTTACAAGGTACGCAGCGTAAGCTCACGTGCATAAGCATATGCGCCGTACGCTGCATACGTCGCGAACGCTCCTAGGAAGCACGAAGTTTCAAAAGTTTCCCAACGTTTCTGATGATTTCTAAGAAGGTTAGTCGCACTCAGCACTCCGTCCACGATGTTGATTACAAGTTATAAACTATATTTAGACAGGAAAGCTGCTGTCGTTGACTCCCTTTGAAAGAAAACCATTACATTTACTTTACATGGAAAGGCCTTTGGATTTCATTTATAGTTCAGCGAGGAGTATTCGTAAAACTTTGTGAAAAAATGAAGTCATCACATACAATGCATTTGCGCACATAAATGTTTTTGCTTACTAAAGCTCAGCTCCTAACTTTCATATATCAAAGATGCTTAAGGGCATGACGCCGTCGGTATCAAATACTTACTACACCTCGTTAGAAGCACCGCGATTAACTACGGAAATTCCCGACGATAACGATGCACTGCCAGAAGCTATCGAAACTATCACAGATTCCACAAAACCTGAGGATATCCGAAAGCCGAGAAGAAAAGGTGAACTCACATTAGGTTTTGTAGCTGTCTTCAATAGAAGAATGACAACAATTCAGGTACAAATCTCTATGGACGTCCGTATTGTCCGGGTCGACCACTGTCCATGGCAGAACGGCGACGGATCATCGAGCTGCATATGAGTGGCATGAAAGTGAATGCAATCTCCAAAACCTTGTGCATATCACACGGTTGTGTTAGCAAGATTATCAGCAGGTGAATAGTAGATCACTTCGCGTATTAAGTACTTAGCACAAAGAACCACCAACATCTACGCGCAATCAGGTAATGACAGAAATGTCTAAAAATGCCTATCGCCTAGGTTTGTAATATCGATATATAATTATATAGATATATGATTTTGGCATCAATCAATAAAGCTTGAAAATTTTGGAAAAAGAACTGATTATAACTTCAACATAAGTTTTTCCATCTGCTCTCCCCGAAAAATACGAAATTTGGTGAGTAACAATGGAAAAATACTGATGACTATTTTTATACGCTTTGAAAAGCGCCAGTAATATGATATAGGCCATATCACCCACCATCGATCGCGAGAAAGCGTGGGATGAGTCGCCGCATACGCTGCGCGCGCCGCATACGTAGGAATTTGATGCGAGCGCAAAACTGGCCATTCAGATTTGAGCGGAGCAACTGACTTGCTTCTTTTCATGTTTCTTTTAAATCTCTTACATTGCTACATTAGTTTTCTTCGCGTGCGTGAGTCTTGTATATGTTGCAATGCTTCAAAATAGCATAGCGTGAACCTTCATCCAAGGCGTTTCTTCGCGATCATGGCCAACCCTCTCAGACATTGTTGTATTTCTCAGTAATCGTACTTTATAATCTATGGAACCGTTCCGAAACTCATTCTAAGTCTAGTCCTCTTGAAAACGCATTGCACACGTTGATCTACTTTGCTCATGCTTTTGTTGCTGGCATGTAAAGTGGCCTAATTTACTCTAAAGATGAGGAGATGAGGTGGAATGTTCTGATTTGTTTTCACACTGCCATCATGTTCTCCATTCTCCTTAGTTCAAAAGTGAGTGAGAGCCTCTCTCATGAGTTTGCTGGTCTGGTGCTTCTCGAACGACGCCTCACCACCGAAATTGAGCCACAGTTGACACAAGCACGCGGAAGGGCAGGAAAGACACGGCGAAATGCAGAGACGAAGAGAAAAACAGCAGAAAGGAACGACTGCCCATGCTTTTGGTGCGGTCAGTCGCGCTCGAGTACGAATTTTGTACGCATGAGACGCACGCGCGCAGCCTCATCCCTAGGATCCTCGAGACCGATAGTGGGTGATACAGCCTATATCTGCCAGACTGCTTTTTCGAAAATAGTTTTGAATATTGTAGGAATGCAAGATACGTGTTGTTTGTAAGGTAAAATTATCGCAATTGGATTCGTACTATGTGAAACCCGCCTTGACTTCACATAGTTGCTAGCCGTTGATAGCTAATGAGCACTGGAATTGGAAAAGCAACAGGCAAAGTTAGTCAGTATGGATGAAGTACATTAGCAGGAGATGGCTTAGTGCACGTCCGGCTGGCGTTACGTGTAATCACTTTGGGCATGGGGACTGTAGCATGGCAGTAGAGTATGGTGTAAGAGGTGCTGGGTTTACCGAAATGCAGCAGAGGTTAGGATGGGTTCATACTGAACCGTTAGTTTCGGAACAGTTCCAGCACAGCGCTTGAATTGCAGAGCTGTG